ATACGAGTGGAGGTGATTATATAACAGATATTCCTTGTTATCTTATTGTTCACTGTCCTTTTTGTAACTGCAACAGAAGAATGTCCTTGGATGTTTATTTTCACTTCTGCAAAGTAAAATTACAGCATGAGCAGAACATTAAATAGATGAGTAAAACAGCTTCATAAAAATTCTCTGTATCTTACCATCTACTATATTACCTCCGAATACTCCAAATTTGACTTAGTCCAATACTTTGGTTTGGGTCCAAATACCTGCAAAACTGATAACACGGGGATTATTAAAGTATTTCTGATTCTGATTCTGATTCTGATCATCCTCAGCTGTACTTTGTGTTTAGTGCTAATTGCAAATGTTAGCATGCTAACACACTATATTAAACTGGTGAACATAGTAAAAATGTTTTACAGTAGCCCAGAGCAGACAAACCAAACACTGGCTGTAAATAGGGCCTTTCGCGTTTTTCAAGTAGTGACAAATGAGAATATTTGAATCATTGTGTTTTTCTTGTCTTGCATCAATTTGTGCCTTGTCTGAATTCATTTATGGTGGAAACATATTTATTTATGTAAAGGAGTACACATTTTCAGGTGACCATTGAAAACACGAGGAAGATTGCAACAGTTGCTTTTGAGGTTGCATTCTGCCACCACCCACTTCATGTGCAAAAGCATTTGCTCTAAATACTGATAGTGATTTTATCCTGCGTCCTCCCCGAAATCTACTCCCATTCCTGGTGGGTAGAATACGGATGCCAGGGCACATGTGAGCAAAACACGGCTATCTCTTTAATGACTGACAGCTCCGCCGCCACGTGTTACACACATAAACCCAGTGCCCTGAAAATGGTTAAAGTTTAACTGGTGTTGTCCTGATAGATTTCACTTAAGTACAAAAAGAAGCATAGATATTTTCTCCTCACAACAAAACAACAAGTGTTCATGGCTATAGAATGGTGTATGATTACTTTTACATGCACACTTAAACCTGCGTAAATCCTCAACCAATGCATGGTAAGAGCGTAGTATGAAGGGAAATTGTTTTTTATCCACAAAGTACTGGTTCAGTTGCCCAGATGGTCAAACAGCTGTAGATCATTGATGCTGTGTTGACTTATCACATGTTCCAGAAAATTCTCTTGAGAGTGATAGTGTAGAAAGTTTGTTTTTCTTTTCTTTGCATTTCTAATCCTCCAGGCCACATAGTGTCAATAATAAGAAGTGAAACATAATAATAAATACATGTTATCCATTTAAAAGTACGCACATTCTTTCACTGAGTCCTCTTAATGATGATGTAAATTTACAAAAAATATATACATTTAATATAGTACATTTATAAGAGGTTGTTAGAAGGTATAGAAACTAGTCTCCTAATATGGTGACTGTGACACATACAACTGGCCAGGGATTACTTCACGGCGAGGGATTCCCCAAATCAATTTCCTTTATAAGGGAGCACCCTAATATGGTCGACACACAGCTACACATTCACTGTCTCCCCCTAATATAGAAGGGACAGGAAGCTCCGTGTTTGACTCAAAGGGACACATGCCTTGCCAGCTGTGTTTACAACATATTCATGACAAGTGGCTGTCATGTGCAGTTAAGCCGACACAAGTGTTTTTTATTCCGGGAGCTTAGAATAAACAGAATTTTACAGATATCAGATATACAGATAATACTGTATTGGCTTATCAATATTAAGATCTTAATTCAAGTTAATGATGACAACAACTTTGCATGGTTATGAATTTGACTAAATTTGCCTTGGGTTTGCAGGGGCCAGCTTTTGACCAAATTATCAAAAGAAAAACTGTAAACTTAAAGAATACAAAAAGAGACCACTGTGGCTCCAAGTGACAATTATGGGATAATGTTGAATGCTAAAATCTACTATAACAGTAGTACAAGTAGAGTATTGTCCATTATAAAGTTATTTATAAAATTATAAATTATAAAGTTAGCTAAAGGTTGCTAACATTAGCGAACAACATACACTGGTCATGCCAGACCAAGAAGGAGTTTACTTAATGGAAAAAGAGTGTGTTTAAGTGTCTATAAATTCAACAAATCAATTCAAAAACAACAGATAAGCCCCTTCCTGATAAGTACAATATGTCCACATTCTCCAAAACATGCTTTGGCTGCTAAATTTTGGCCGTCACGCTGTTTGTGCTCAGAGGCCAACCAAAAGCACCGGGGAGAATGTTTGCTCTCAAAGTTCAGACTAACATTTTATTTGACTATTTCCAGACAGACCTGCATGGAAGACACCAAGATGTTGGCCTCTGCCTCGACGGCTAAAACAAACACCAAGCAAGCAAGCAAGACCAAAATTGCAGCTCCTTCACAAACAGACACCCACAGCTCATGTTTCCAGAGTTCATGTTGCCATTCTGCTCAGCATTCCCAGTATTGCAAATTCTGCACTGCACAGTTTCATGGGCTTACAGTCACTCAGAGTCACAAGTATTTGGTGTATCAATAGATTTTTGGGAATCTGACCTGCCTACCAGGTAAGAGATTGTGGTAGGAGTATCACAACAAATCCAATAAGCATTATTATTATGCACTGCCAACAAACCTTTACCCTTCTCTCAAGTGATTAAGACCTCTTTCCAAAGATCTTTGGGCAGTAAAGAACCTGGCTGTGAGAGCAGGCCTGGTTACATAAAGGCAGTAATAAGCACCCACACACAGAGAATCACAGTTTAACTACCTTACTGCGGATTAGAATCATTAGAGCAGTGGTTGTACAGTGGATGGTTTAGGAACGCACGCTATCCAGGGAACAGCACGCTGGTTATCACTCAGAACAAGAAGTTCTTTAGAAACTCCAAGGATGTCAACGTGGTCGTCCACTACTTTGGTCCAGACTAAAATATCTCATTTACAGGGATTTACTTTTATGATCCTGATTTTTCCTTTAGCTCCAACAGGTTGACCCTTTTGGCTGTTAGTGAGATGTCTTGACGACTCCTGAAAGGATTGCTGTGACATTTTATAGAGACATTCATGGTCCCCAGAGGTTGAATCCTAACAACTTTGGAAATCCTCTGACTTTTCACCTCAAGGTTGATATTTGTGCTTCTGGGTGAAATGTCTCCAACCACTGGATGCATTGGCATGAAGTTTGGCATATCCCCTTTGATGAATTGTAATTCGTTCATTTATTAATTTAATAATCTAGTGCCATCATGAGGTCAGAAATTATTTTTGTCCACCACTTTGATTTAATAAATAAAATATCTGCAAAACTAAAGAATTTCCTCAGCTGCACTTAGTGGGACTTAACAAGTGTTAGCATGCTAACAGGCCAAAGGAAATTGAGCAGGGTAAATCCAGAATGCTAAACACCAGGATGTTAGCATTGTTACTTTGAGCATGTTAGCGAGGTTGCAGACTCTTAAGTCTTGTTACAATTCAAATTACAAATACATGTGTCATTTGTAGCACAATATGCAAAACACAAATACATTTCATAATCTTAGAGCCACCTCATACTGGAATGAAGGACAGGCAGTTGTATGCACATTTCTTTTAGGGTTGAATGTACTTATTGGGTTAAGATTTTATGTCAAGAAAAAATAATGCCATATACTACAAAAGGTAAATGTTTTTTATTTTCCTCTACAGTAGTTTTAGGGAGAAGTAGATAATGTGTAAAGTCATTGTTCTCGGTTTCCCTACCTACTCAGTTTGGCTTTTTATGACTGTTTCATATAAAAGATGTAACAGACATGTCATGTGCATTAATGTTGATCTATGAGGAAGATGCTGTGATAGTACTGTAGCTTTGATATGAACAAAGAATCAGATTGTCCCAGAACACATAAGAAAAAAGTCTGGATCGATGACCCCAGCAGACACACTCTCGTGCCTTTTTTGCCTTTCATACAGTCAGGCAGTAACGTGATTACATGAGAAACTGTGGCACATGATCTGGCCTGCTTAAATTGCATCTGTAATTTTTTGAAATTAAGCGGCGTATGGATTTTATTCCGCTGCCCAAATTGGAAAACCTCATTTTCTGTGTACACTTGAGTCTCAGGCCTCAGTTCACCTCCCTCTTTCTTTTTTCTCTTACACACACAAACACACACACAGTTGCCCATAGTAAACGCACAAAGAACCACTGTATGAAATATTTAGGTCATATATACCAAAATGGCTTGAGAACAAATCAGTCTGTGGGTAGCAACATTTTCTTTTCCAGTGTCTAAATTCATCATATCATGTGTGTCATACATAAGCTTAGGGCTATTTACAGGCTGCAACAATCGGTCCTTTCTTTTAAAAACTTAATGATTCCTTCCAAGTCCAGTAGTGTTACATAACATAGTTCCATTGGAGAGGTTAGTGCGTAGATATCTGTAACCACCTACACCACTGAACTCACAGAGATTTGACAGTATGACTGCAACTGGATCGTGTAGCATCCACAAACTGGTATGTGATAACACACCTTTGCTCAGGGCACAATGAAAATCAGCCTAATAGGAATGCTGACTGGTAAGTTATATTCAGCTTCTGTTATTCACCTACTGTAGAGTCCGATCTGGTGACCAATAGGCTATGGAAAACAAAACTAGGTGTCAACTCTATGCAACTCTATTACAACTTGCAATTTGTTTTTAATAAAAGTTCAAATATTCTATTCCTCCTATTGTTGGGGACCCCCTACAACCCTACTGAAGGGTTTGGTCCCAGGACCACTGGGCAATATATTACATTTTTTATCCATGATATTCATGAATGTATGGCCTTGTTACAAAATATGCAAAATTCGGACTAATTGTGTACTGTACCCTACCCAAGAAAAGTTAGTGTTTCTTGTACCCCAGCGTTACATCAGTTGACCTCACTCCTAACCGAGTGATGATCTCCGCCTTTCAAAATAAAAGCGATATCACGTGAAAGAGTAGTGACTGGGTGGGTTTAAGGGACAGCTCAGCCAATCACCGCCTCTGTTTTGCGGCTTCCCATTCGACGATAAACATTGCGACCTGACCCGCAGGGCTTTCAGAGAGAGGCAGGGCACGTCAACGTGAATGAGGCCGAGCCGTCTCCACAGCCGCTGTTATTACTGCCTGGAAATGAGACTGGGATAACTCACCAATATTAAAGACACTCACACTATGGTGAAGCATTATCCGCTTCAAAAGAAGGAGACGCAAACCTGACGCTCTGACAGCGACCTTTACCACCGGAAACACGTTAGCTCTGGTAGCTAACGTGAGCTAGCTTAGTTAGCAGTTATATACCCTCGTTTTTTCCACGCAACTGACCTCCACCACAACACAGACGTACTGAGTGCCATTTGCTCGCTAGGTTTGGGGGTTGTTCCCCCCCCTGCTTCTTCACGTCCGCTCCCATTGTCCCCGTGTGGTGCCCCGTGGACGGTTCCCGAATATGATACATAATGAGTCAAAGAGATACCTTAGTTCATCTGTTTGCTGGAGGGTGAGTATGTTCTCATGCTGAGCTAGCTAGCACACGGCTAACTGTCGTTGCTAGCGTGTGTAGCTGCACATAGTGGGGTGTTTGTGTTGGTGCGCTAATGGTGTTGGGGGGGGTTTGGTTCGTGGCATAATGTTAACATGGAGATCCGCGTTAGCATCAGCGTGTCAGATGTCAGCTAACCAATCGTGTCCATGCATGTGTACCCGTAGGAGTAGCGCTCAATGTCACAAGTTACAATGACATTTCAGTGTGTGTGTGAATGAAATGGCTGGCTTGTGGAGGTGTGTTGTGTATTCACTGGGTCTCCGTAGCAGCTGGGACATTTCTACGTAACATAAAGTCTACGTCCGTGTATAGTCGTCTATTAGGTTTATATTGATCCTACTGTCGGTGTCATCTGTGCGTCGGCCATAACGCTGCTGCACCAAAACAAACGTGGGCAGACTGCCACTAAAAGTCACTCAGAAAACAGTGTTTAGAGGCAACAGACAGACATGTGTGCTCGGATGTGACTGATGCAACATCTAAAGTGTGTCACAGTGGAGTGCAGTCTAGTCTTTTCTGTAATACTGGTCTGCCAACACTGGGTGCTAAAAAAAAAAAACACCTGACGAATTGTGCTTCAATCTGAATGAATGTCAGCCTGAAACAGCTACAAACAGGCGGTGGTTCCACAATTCGTGTTAGACCGTGCACACAAGATAAGAAAAATGAGATGCGCGACATGTATGTGTTTTGACAGACCCAAAGCAAAATTAGGAAAAACTCTGAATCATTGTGTCCTCCGTCCTGCTAGAGAATGTCCACAATGATCACAAATAATTCTTTTTCTAGTTGTATGAGCCTAAACATAAAAAAACGTCACATTTAATCTATGTGGGACCAATCCCATCGTCGTCCATGCGTGCTGTCCCTATGCCAGTGTTTGGCGTTTTCTTTGGTTTTCACAGAAGCTGCCTGACACCCATCAGCTTACCTCTGCCAAAATGTATGTTGGCAGGACACACTCATTCTGCTTTGGTGCTGATTGAAAATTAACCCTAACTAAAGATAACTGCTGTCGCTATTGCTTTTGATATCCTCTCGTCTGGCCCTGCCCTGCCCATGCAGTCCAGTCAGGTTCACTTTATTTATGTAGTCCATGTAGATATTGTTTTTGTGTTCTCTCTTATCAGTCGTCCTTATATTTGTTATCGGAGCAGATTACTTTCCTGACATACCTGAGCTGGACATAAACCCATAGTCCAGGTATTTGTAGAAGGCGTCAGGTTATGCTTGTCTTAAGGTCTGTGTAGATGTGAAAACTTCCAATGGTTATTATTCGCTTTGTCAGTTAAGTGGTTTTTTAATAAAAGACAGCCAAATGAGAATCTCAACAACACAACAAAGCAAAACTATTTGCGGTTGATTCCTGTTTGGTTCATTCTTATATTAAAATATACATATGTGAGTTTGGAATGTGGTGTGGCACTGGACAGAAGCTCGCTGTTATTCCCCCAAGAAACACAAAAGCATTCCTGACTAGCTGTCTGTTCCCACATTGTGCTGTTTCTTGTCTGCGTGCCAGGGATCGTTCAAATTCCCACAACCGCGTCCTTGACTCCTTTATTTATGCAAGAAAAATTAAGACTGTGCACACCTTTGACATTCTGTTTCCTTCACCTTTTCCATCTCTGTCTGTCTCTTTCTGCCAGATGTGGGGGCACGGTTGGAGCCATATTGACTTGTCCACTGGAAGTCGTGAAGACCCGTCTGCAGTCATCCACCATCACCCTCTATGTGTCTGAGGTTCAGCTCAGCACTGTCAACGGGGCCAGTGTGGCCCGCGTGTCCCCGCCAGGCCCCCTGCACTTCCTCAAGTGGGTACCCAACATCATTAATCTATCAGACTGCTGTATCTTACCTCTAGGGATGAGTGTTGTTGACATTTTATTGATACTTGTGCACTCATCAATACTCTTTATCAGTCTGTTACTTTATTGATACTCTTATCTCTTCTTTTTTATTACTGAAGAATAATTGATAGATTTTTTGTTATTTAAAATGTATCTATTTATATCTCAATATAACACAATTTAGTTTCGAGAGCAGCAACAGCAATGTTTACAACAGCAAAATAATGATATAAACTCAGTGATATCTTGCTGGGAACAAATCGTATTTATAATATTACTCACATCAAAACACAGTTAAATCTGGGTACAGATATATTCAAAAGGACAAAAAATGCCTTCTTTTACACAGTTTATACACTGCCTCAGAAATAAAAATCACAAAGAGAAAATGATAATATGAACTCAGTATCGTGATTTGTATCAATTTGTGAGTTGAGTGAGACATTCTATTCCTACACCAGAAAGTCTACAAGACTTTGCTCAATCTTACATGGCATATTAGGCAAAACAGTTAGTCAGCTTACAGTTTAGCTTGTTCCTAACAGTTTGCAATTAGCTTAGCAGGTGTAATAGATTACTCTTATTTGCTTTTACACTTAAAGGTGTTATTGCACTTACAGTAACAAGACTAGTTGTCATTAACTTGAGTAATATCTTCTACTTAACCTGAGTCCATTCTCTCATTAGCTGCCCTTCTGCTCCACTGTCCACTGTGTGTGTGTTTGTGTGGTGGAGGAGCTCAGCCCAAACATTCTTCTCAGTAAAACCTGATCACTTATGGTGGTTGTTTGAGGTTGAAACCAGGATGATTGGAGGTGTTCATGTATGTGGCTAACTGTTTCTCCCCTCCACATTTGCCTTCCTCAGCAGGCACCATGTTGCTTTGTTGTTTGGCCTGGCTGCTGTCCCCCTGGCAAGGCCAACCGCTCCCTGAAACCCAACTCCTCACCCTTTGGGAAAACTATACACAGAGCAAACATCAGTTATTTTAGCCAAGCAGGAAATCTGATTACAAATCCAACTATTACTTGATTATCTTGGGAGGTATTCCTACATTTTTGATTCCTCAAGACTGTTGTCTGTCTGCTATGTCAGGCCTTTTCCTATTTTTTTCTCCACTTAGTAAAGTATCTCTTTGATTTGGGTCGATTGCCAATTGTGATATTGAAGGAAATTAGATCCGCTCCATAAGGAAGAGAACGGCCTGGTCTCTTCTAAAGAGGTCATGTTCAGGCTGCTCAGAGCCTCTGGAAAAACTGTGTTTGATGGCACCATGCCACTTCTCAAATTCACTGAACCAGTCCACATTTAAATGAAGTGCACTGTAGCAGTAGAAGCTTTGCTCCGTAGGCTGGCAGTATAATCCCTGGTTTTTTTGACATGCTTCAGTTGCTAAACTGGACAACTTTTGCATATTCCTAGGAAACTGGCTTATTATATATCTTAGATGTTTGTTCATCATTATGCAAGGCTTGCCTATGTCGTATTTATTTAAAGTTACAACTCATTATTTTATCTAATGCAGTCTTAATATTCAAATCTAAAGTAAACTTGTGTCCCGAGATCTTGTTGTGCTCAATACACCCCACAATACAAATGTGATGGAAGGAATATCTGACTACTTACAGTTTTTCTATTCTTAGATCCCTGCTAGTTTTAAGGCTTTGAATGTAGGCTAAAGTTCCTCCTGAAAGTGGGTGGACAGGAAAGAGTAAGATTTTTTTTCTGTTGGCAGAATGAAATGAGTGAATGAATGAATGTCCATTAGATATCATGGCAACCTCCCCATTACATTTTAATATTACTTGCACAGATGGTCAAACTTTGGCTTGATGGTGGTGCAAGAGGAAAAATCAGGGTCCCCAAAAGGTAGTATTGAAGCCTGTAGTTTGGCATTACTGTTGCAGGAAACAATGGTCACACACAATCTCGTATTACAGCTAAACAGTACACTGAAATATGTTTCAGAATCTGGATCCATATCTGATCAGCACTTCCTAGTTTGACAGTTGGATCTGAGTTTCGTACACTGCTGGATAGAATGACCTGTCAGTCATAAGGTAGCCACGCCTTTACTCTAAATTGGACCATAATTTACTGAACATCATGCTGCATGGAAGAAGACTTAAAACTAGCTACTAAATCAAGTGAGCAGTCGGGTAATTTCTCCTTAAGAGTGCATGCATTTTTTATTGCAGCCAATGGAGCTCCCCCTGCTGGCCATTACCTAGAATGCAGGTTTAAGAAACTTCTGCGTTGGCTTCACGTCACAGACCCGGAAGCTCTGTCCATTATATACACTGTCAATGGTATCGCATCACCCGTGTATATGCACATAGCATGTGCGTCTCCATGCGCATCCTAGAGAACAAAGTGGTGACCACATTGCTCCAGAGTGAAAAATAGTGGAAAAGTCCACAGGGAAGCTTTAAATATCCATACCAAACTGCACGACAATTGGGTTAGTACTTTTTAAAGCATCCTGCTCTGGACCTGAGTGTTTAATAGACTGACATTACATTCACCAAGATGAATTGTTGCCCGTTATCTTTGGGATTATGATTGGAATTTAAACCATACATTGTTAGACCAAGAGAAATTGGATAAAACTGGTAGAAAAGTAGTGTATTCGCCAGTAAGAAGTAATACCCTAAAGCGTGTATGTGTTCTTGGTGGTAGAATCCTAATGTTCATTTTTCTCTGTGTTTGTGTGTTTCGGATTCAGGTTGATTTTGGAGAAGGAAGGACCTCGTTCTCTCTTCAGGGGCTTGGGGCCAAACTTGGTGGGTGTGGCACCTTCCAGGTAAGCTGTCATCTTCATATGCTTAGCTATGTTTGACTTGAAAGACAGTGACGCTATTAATGCTATCTTAAAGTAAAGAGATTCTCAGTCAATTAATAGTAAAAGTCGTGATGGAAATGGAAATTGACAAATTGTGTCTCCAGTGTCAATATTCCTCTGCACAAGGAAGACAGTAACACAGAATGATTTCTTCTGTTTAGTACTGAAAATGGTAATTTGAACAAAATATACTACAGAAAGTGAATCAGAAATTTTTCAAATAATCGATTCTTTTTTGCTACGTTTTCAAGCAAAATTCTTTAAAATAAACTGAAAATATTTGGGTTTTGGATGAATTAAAGACAAGCGTCTTTAAGACATCATGTTGGACTTTCTTTTTACCTTCTTTTGCACATTATAACCAATTAGTCGATTAAGATCTACATTTCTGAATATTATTTTGATGTCATTATTTTTCAGTAATGACTAGAGTTGCAACAATTAATCATCATGAATTGGTTATCAACCAATAAATTGATCGCCAACTATTTTAATAACCGATTAATTGTTTTGAGTCATTTTTTAAAGACAGAATGTCATAACTCTTTGATTTCAGCTTCTATCAAAATGTGACTGAATATCTTTTGGTTGTAGACATTTGAGGACATCACTTGACCTTTAGGAAGCACTCGTCAACATTTTTCACCATTTTCTGACACTTTATGGACCAAATGACTCATTGAATAATAGAGAAAATAAGACTCGAAGTCTGCAGCCATGGTAGCAGCCCTGTTAGGCTGCGGCCCTCATTCCACACTTGGGGAAAAAAGTAGCTAGACACATAAAAAAAGATAGAGAAAGGTCATGTTGCTACAACAAAACAAATCAGCTGGTAGCTGCTGTGAATAGACCTTTTCCACAACAGA